GGCCGAGTGAGAGAGTGGAGGCGACGGCCGGTGGCGACAAACAGCGACTGAAATAAAGGCAACGACGGTGGTGGCGCGAAGGCGGTGGTATGGAGTCGTTGGGAAAGAAAAAAGGAAGGGAGGAGAAGAAGAAGAAGAAGTTGCGGTGGATTTTTTTTTTTTTTTTTTTTTTTGTTGTTGTTGTTGTTTGAATTTAAGTGAAGAAAAAGAAGAATGCGCGCTAGGTTTGATAGAAGGGCATTCTTTTAAGTTAGTTATACGACGTCGGTTCTTCACTTAACTGACGTCGTATAGTATTAATTTATTAAAAAAAAAAAAAAACAAGTACGACGTCAGTTCTATCCTGAATTAAAAAACAAATTATACGTTTAATATACGCCGTTGATTATACAAAAACCGACGTCGTATATCTACTAATTTCTTTTTACTTTTTTTACAAAAATGTCACAACATTGGCTCGTGGACGAACCGACGTCTTAACCTGAATTAAAAAAAAAAAAAAAAATACGTATACTATACGGCGTCGATTATACTAAAACCGACGATGTATAAATATTAATTTTATTTTAAATAAAAAAGGTTACGACGTTGATTCTTTAACGAACTGATGTCGTAACGTTAAATTAAAAAAAATAGATATATTATACGACGTCAGTTACAAAATAAACCGACGTTGTATATTTTGTTAACTTTTTTATTATTTAAAATGAGTTATAACGTCAATTTTTAAGAAAAATTGACGTCACACCCCTTTTTAATAAAATTATAAACTTATTTAATATTTTGACATGTTTTTATAAGAAACTGACATTATAAGTTCGAAGTCATATGTGATTTGTGTAGTAGTGGTTGTAGTTATAAGTGCATGTATTTCAGGGAAAACAACCAAAGTGGGCAAAACTCAATGAATTCCTCCAATATTTTTGAGTGGCTATATATTTTTTTCCTTAGCAGCAGTAGAAGCAGATCTTGTTTGAGCGCATCTGTTCGCCACATAACAGTACAGTTCAGTAGCAACAGCTAGCGAGTGAGCGCCATGTTTCAACAACATCCATAGCCATACATTAGCAGCAACAAGCAAGGAGGAGGAAGATGAAGAAGAAGTAGTGCCGCCGCCGCGACCAGATTTTTTTCATCGCCGATGTCGCATGATGAAAATCAGTGCCGTCGATCAGCACCATCACCCCTACATTTTCTTCAAGGACTCAATTACCGCCATGTGGAGATCGATGAGCTTAGGCTTGACTTGTGGTGATCGATAGGGTGAAGAGAGACTGGCCGGGATTTCTTAATGTTGCTTTAATTTAGGTAATCTTCTTCTTCTTCCTCTTCCTGTTATTATTTATATGAAGACTGAAGAGCTACAAACTTCTGTTAAGAATATAGCGGAATAATGCGGAAGCGAACAATCAAAAATTGAGAATTATAGAAGTTAAATAATAGGGAAAATAATATAAATGACAGAATAAGGCAATTGCTAATTTGGGAGATTATAAAATATATATATATTAATCTCTAAATAGAGAATACAAAGAAAATATATATATTAAATATATACTCTACGTGAGAGAAGATAAAGAATTGAATGAATTAAAATTGATGCATGATTACAAAGGAATTCTAGCCTATTTATACATTTCAAACTAGAGACAAATGTGGTGATTGTAAGAAGACCCAAGAAATTAGGTGAAGATGTGAAACATGGATGCTAGTTTCATGGTGAGTGGTCTTCATGATTTTGAGCCACACAATTTGAGCCACATATTATATCTAACAATCTCCACCTTGGATCAAATTCATTGTGAGAATTAACATTTGGAACAGCCGACTAAACTCAAGCACTACTTGAACTTAGCAACAGGAAGAGCCTCATAATAGCAGGATGGATCATCATCAACCTCCTGTGCGACTGAAAGAGCATAAGCAACCAAGTTGGTTTCATCATCACTAGCATACCTAGCAGGTTTTTTAATTGTCCTCCTAGGACGATCCATAGCAATGGAATACTCTCGTTGTGGCTCGACGAGAGGTGCGGTGCTAATAGATGCATCATCTTTAGTATTACCATCAGCAGTAGTAACACTATCAATAGGCCTGAACTCAAACTCCACCTTCTCACCAGTACTTTGCGTCTCATCTGTACTGGGAACTTTTCCAGAAGAACGTAGTGCATTTTCATCAAAAGTGATATCTCGACTCAGAATGATTTTCCGAGAATCAAGAGACCATAGACGATACCCTTTTGACTCAGAGGCATAACCAAGGAAAATGCATTTGACAGCTCTCGGGTTCAATTTACCCGTACTGGAATGAGCATAAGCAGGACATCCAAAAACTCTTAAGATAGAGTAGTCAACAGGATTACCTGACCAAACTTCCTCTGGAATTTTGAAATCAAGGGATGAATGTGGAGATCTATTTACCAAATAGCAAGCAGTAGAAACGGCCTCGGCCCAAAAATCACGCCGTTTCCATAACCCAGCATTAGAGAGCGTACAACGAGCTCTTTCCAATAGAGTCCTGTTCAAACGTTCGGCAACACCATTCTGCTGGGGTTTACCAGGCAAGGTCTTGTGCCTGGCAATTCCATTTGCCGCACAAAAGTCATTGAAATCTGACTCACAGAACTCAAAGCCATTGTCTGTCCTGAGCTTCTTGACTTTTTTACCTGTCTGAGTCTCAACAAGTATTTTCCATTTCTTGAAAATAGAAAATGCTTGATTTTTATGTTTCAGGAAATAGACCCAGACTTTACGAGAAAAGTCATCAATAATAGACATAAAATATCTACAGCCTCCCATAGACTGGAATTTAGTCGGTCCTCATAAATCGGAATGTATATATTCCAATACATCTTTGGTACGGTGTGTAGCAGTAGAGAAACTAACCCTCTTTTGTTTCCCAAAAATACAATGCTCACAAAATTGTAATTTACCCGTACCTGAACCACCAAGGAGGCCTTTTTTGCTCAGGAGATGCATGCCTTTCTCACTCATATGCCCCAGACGCATATGCCATAATTGAGTGAGATCCGCATCAGACATCGATGAGGATACCGCTACTGAACCCGTCACAGTACTGCCATGCAAGACGTACACGCTTCCAGAACGAGAAGCTTTCATGAGAACAACAGAGCCTTTTATGACCTTCAAAACTCCACCTTCAGCTATGTACTTGTACCCCAGAGATTCCAAGGTGCCCAACGATATCAGATTGCGTTTCAAATCAGGAATATACCGCACATTGGTAAGAGTCCTAATAACGTTATCATGAGTTTTAATCTGCACACTTCCAATTCCACTAACCTTGCATTGGGTATCATCACCCATCAAGACAACTCCACCATCAACCGGTTCCAGAGAGACGAACCAGTCTTTGTGAGGACACATGTGGAATGTACAACCAGAGTCCAGAATCCACTCGGTTTCGCTCCGTTTGCAACCGGAGCTAACAGATAACAAAACATCGCCTTCTGAATCACTTTCAACAACACTAGCTTCAGCGGACTTCTTTTCTCTCTCTTGCTTGTTTTTCAACTTGAAGCATTCAGTCACATCATGACCATGCTTCTTGCAGTACTTACAGGATTTGTTGGACTTATGTCCTTTGGACTTGGATCTAGAATTTTTATTGCTACTCCCTGATTCAAGTGAACGACCCCTTACAGTCAAGCCTTCACCTTTGTCCTCAGACTTAATTTCAAAGTCAAACTTTTCTTTGGACAATAAGTTTGACTTAACACTGTCGAAAGTAAGGGTATCACTACTATTACCATACAGCATAATTTCTTTGAAATGCGTGTATGATCTAGGGAGAGAGACAAGCAATAAAACAGCGCGATCCTCATCTTCAATTATAACATCAATATTTTCCAAGTCCAATAAAATAGAATTGAATTCATCCAAGTGAGATTTAATAGAAGTACCTTCCGTCATACGGATTGTGTACAGACGCTCCTTCAGGCGTAGCGTGTTCGCCAGAGTTTTGGCCATGTAAAGCGTATCCAGCTTGGACCATAAATCTGACGCAGTCGTCTCACTTAACACCTCACGTAGAACCTCTTTAGACAGGCACAAAAGAATGGTTGAACGTGCCTTGTCATCCAGATCTTCCCAATCTACATCTGTCATTGTAGCCGGTTTCTTCTTCTTCCCAGCTAGCGCTTTCTTCAAACCGTTCTGGGTTAGAACGGCTTCCATCTGAACCTTCCAGATAGAAAAGCTAATTTTCCCGTCGAACTTCTCGATATCGAACTTGGTAACAGTTGACATCTTTGAAAATAACTCTCAATTAAACTTGGCTCTGATACCACTTGTTAGGAATATAGCGGAATAATGCGGAAGCGAAGAATCAAAAATTGAGAATTATAGAAGTTAAATAATAGGGAAAATAATATAAATGACAGAATAAGGCAATTGCTAATTTGGGAGATTATAAAATATATATATTAATCTCTAAATAGAGAATACAAAGAAAATATATATATTAAATATATACTCTACGTGAGAGAAGATAAAGAATTGAATGAATTAAAATTGATGCATGATTACAAAGGAATTCTAGCCTATTTATACATTTCAAACTAGAGACAAATGTGGTGATTGTAAGAAGACCCAAGAAATTAGGTGAAGATGTGAAACATGGATGCTAGTTTCATGGTGAGTGGTCTTCATGATTTTGAGCCACACAATTTGAGCCACATATTATATCTAACAACTTCAATTTGGGGATTTCATTAATATGAACAGCTAGAAGCTTCAATTTGGGGATTCCTCCGTGGAAAAAATTAAACATTTCTTATTATTTTAGAAAAAAATCTACCTGACAATCCTAACTAAGCACAAAACGACAAATTGCCTGTTAAAATAGTTGATTATACGGAGTAACATTTTTCTAATTTCATAAATTTATTCAGAACTTATTCAAATTGAGTCATTTAATTGCAGTTTTCCAAATAGTTTACTCACGAATTCCAGCTATCAACATTTTAGCGTTGACTAACGAATTTTTATCACATCTTTCATGTTTCTTAGTACTGCTCTGACTACCTTACCAGAGAGAGAGACACAAATGGCTTACGCTGCCATAACTTCGCTTATGGGAACTCTGCATCTACATTTCTTGCAATCACAACCACGTTTCCCTCTTCCACACAAACAAGAGATAGTTTCTCTCCATGAAAATCTTGGTTTCCTCCAAGAAATTCTTGAGAAATCTGAGATTGCCTATGATGATGCGGGGGCGATGAAAGATTTAGAGGCACAGATCAAAGATGTATCATTCAAAGCCGAAGAAATGATTGAGATGGAGTTGAGTAGCATATATCTTCAATCAAGCAGTATAGAGGCTTGCAGCCTCCTCAGGCTTCATGGAATCTTCAATCAAGCACTTAAACAGACTGATTACCTCAAGACAAAGATTATAAGTGAAAAGCAGCTTGCAAAAGGTTCATCACAAGTTGAAAGAATTGCTGACGTTTCACTCCTTGCTCGGATTCGACAAAGAAGACTACACCTTGGTTCAACATCATCACAGCCTGATCTAGAACTGGAGAACATTAAGATGAGTAAATTTTCCAAAAGTACTTCAACTTTTGACAGTAGAATGGTTGGATGCGACGAGGAGTTCGAGACGATATTGGATCAGCTCACCCGACAATCAGTGAAACATCTACAAGTTGTATCAATTGTTGGCATGGGAGGAATAGGCAAGACCACTTTAGCTAGGAAAGTCTATGAAGATCCATCAATTACTTCTCATTTTTACATGCGAGTATGGGCTACTGTGTCTCAAGAGTATAATGTGAAGCAAATGCTTCGATGCCTTATTGGTTGTGTTATTGCAGCATCAAGAGATGAACACCCTCAACAGAGCAATGTACTCAAAGAACAAAGAAATCCCAAAGAAAAATTAGCAGAACGTTTGCGTAAACTCTTGAAGGAGCAGAGATATTTGATTGTGATAGATGATATATGGAGCACTTCTGCTTGGGATAGTGTGCAAAGATGCTTTCCAGATGATAATACTGGAAGTCGTATACTAATGACTTCTCGGCTCAGAAAGGTAGCTGAATATGCTAGTTCAGGTAACTCTCCCCTTAAGATGTGTCTCTTAGATATGGTTCAAAGTTGGAATCTCTACTGCAAAGTGTTTGGTAAAACGGAATTCCCTTTTGGGCTTGAGCAAATTGGTAGATACATAGTGAAGAAATGTGAAGGATTACCTCTAGCTATTATTGTAGTAGCTAGTCTTCTCTCCAAAATGGAGAAGGAGGAAAAGTGGATGAATGTTGCCAAAAATGTGAGTAGATCAGTGATTGGTGGTTCTAATGATGCATGTTTAAGAATACTATCTTTAAGTTACAACCAATTACCACACCACTTGAAAGCTTGTTTTTTATATTTTGGTATTTTTCCGGAAGACTATGAGATCCGTGTGAACAATTTGGTTAGGTTGTGGGCAGCCGAGGGATTTTTGGGGGCTGTGAAGCATCAGAATCCGGAGGAAGTGGCCATGGAATGGTTGCAAGATCTTGTTGATAGAAGTCTTGTTATAGTTAGCAAACAGAGGTACAATGGGGAAATGAAGACAATAAGGATACATGATCTGTTGCGAGACTTTTGCTTGAGAGAAACTCGACGTGAAAATCTCTTGAATGTCATTGAAAAGCTTCCATTTTACAAGAGGATATCACAGAACCTGTTTTCAAAACCTTGTCGTTGGATAAGTTATAGACCAGGATCTTTTTTGTGGTTGGATAATCAAATCAAGTCTAACTGCTTTCACAAATCCCATTCCTTACACTCTAGTGCTGTTCACTTTAGAGATATGAAACATCTATTTTCACACTTCAAACTACTAAGAGTACTAGACATTGAAATTGTATTCGGGGAGGGTCATGATAACGCACTAAATGTGCTTGCAAATCTTGTTCATTTGAGATACTTAGCTTTGTCCACAAGTGAAGATGCCTTCACTTTTGATGTAAAGCTCTTTGAGCATTGGAATATGCAGAGTTTTATTGTTCGTTCTTGTGCTGGTATATTGGATTGCTCTCAGGCATCTCAAATTTGAAAAATGTCACTGTTAAGGAATTTTTATGTTCGGGTATGTTTTTCATTAGAAACTTCAGAAGTTATTCATAGAAATTTACAGACCATATTTTGGTTGGATCGCAAGTGTTGTACAAAGGATCTCTTTACAAGGATTCCGAATTTAAAAAATTTGGGGATTCGGGGTGGAGTGTCTTCTGGAAATCCGGATTATTTTTATAATTTATTGCAGTTGGGGCAGCTTGAGAAACTAAGCATCAGAGGGTGGCATCCCAAAGGTATTCTATGTAGCGGCATTCCATGGGAAACTAGTTTTCTACCAAATCTTAAGAAGCTCATCTTCAAAGAGACTGGTCTGCCATGGTGTGATATGAGGTTTATTGGTATGTTGCCAAATCTAGAGGTTCTAAAACTGATAAATGCTTGTGAAGGCCCAAAGTGGGAGCCATCTGAGGGTGGATTCCGTCGATTGAAGATGTTAGTAATTGAAGAAGTATTTCTCAATTGTTGGGATGCCGCGGGTGACCATTTCCCTGTACTAGAATGCTTAGAGTTGCGTAAATGCTATTGGTTGCAAGAGATTCCTAGTGGTTTTGTTGATATCACCACACTAGCATTGATTCAGTTAAAAAGCTGTGGGGATTACCTTTTGGCTTCTGCAAAAAGGATTCAAGATGAGCAACACAGCTATGGAAATCATGCCCTCCTTGTCAGTTTCGAAAATATTGGTCTCTTTCCATCCCCTCTAATAAATCTCTGACCATTTCTGTATCTGATGGTTGCAATTTATATGCTTTCTCTCACTCGATCTCATTTGTCTGTATCTGATATTTATTCCTTACCTATTCATTTTTGCTTAATTTAGGGTCCCGAACCTAAAATGTTTTACAAGGAAGGATGGTATGAAGCATGGATTGTGATGGCCGATTTTAGAAATGCAGAGAAACCACTTGATCTAATTGAAGCTCATGGCTGATGGACATTCTTGAATCTGCACAGGAAGATGGTTTCTGCTTCTGAGAAGAAGTTGCTATTGCAATTTATCTTACTATATAGGAGACATGAAAATAGATAAGTATGTGTATGTGTTTTTGGTTTATTTTCAGTTCAAGTGTTCTAAGTCTTTTAGGATTGAGATTTTTTCCTGCTTATTACTGTATTGTGTGGCAAGATGATACAAGTGTATAAATTCCCTCTGTTATATATATAGCTCTCCCTATTTGAGTTTCACATTAAAGTCTTGTAATCTCATTCTTAAACACAGACAAGGGGTGGAGTGTGTGTATGAAACCTTCAATGATCCCAAGTAGCTTTTAACTTTAATTTATGCTCAAAGTAAACAGATTCCTTTCGCGCACCGGAATTTGGCCATGCCTGCTGAACTATTGAGTCACCATAATTTACGTTTTTCCAAATGCGCATTTGGCTATGTCTGGTGAGCTATTGAGTCACCATAATTTACGTCTTCCCAAAAATGAAAAACCCCCCAAAACCATGGCTCTAAAACATATTATTACAGACACACATAAGTCAAAATGCCTTCATCCAACATGTTACATAAAATTTCTGCCTCTAAACTTTTGATTGCCTCGATCTCCATCTCTGGACATCTCAGGTTCATCGAGAAAACTAAGTACTCTGCTTTTGCAAATTAAATTAAGTGAATTTCAAATTCTACTCTCTAAATCAACTCTATGATGAGTAATGTTATTTTTATTCTTAAAATTTACTATGTTTCAAAGTGACATCCATGTCACTGTTTATTAATTAAAAATAAAAATAAATTAAAGTATGAGGTGGCTTGCAATCCTTGCAAGACTTATTGGAAAGTGTGGCAAAAGTACAACGCCGAGCATCTCCAATAGCTGTGGCAAAAGTATAATGCCTTCAGAACATTTTCAATAGTTGTAATTTTTGAGAAGTTTTTGTTGGTGTGACTAGGAAATAGAAGATGAGAGGGGAGAGAAAAAAAGAAAAAAAAAATGAAACAAAATCTTAAAAATGAAAAAAAGTTGTGTCAGGTTAAGGCGCCCAGGCACGTGAAGTGCAAGCGCCGGCTGTGTGTATTTTGTGTGCATCACACGGCAAATGGGGCAATTTTTTAAAATTTTTATTTTGGATGGATCCCACTTTGGAGACAAAAGACCATGTCTTTAGCTAAGAACTCAACTCTTTCTCTCTCCTCTCCCTCTCCCCTCCACTTGAGCATTGTCTCCTCAAAAACCTTCCCAAAAATCATTGATGGAGATGCTCTCAGTGGAGAATGTGTTTTTGTCAGTTTTTAATTTTTTTAATCATTTTTTAATAATTTAAATAATAATATTAATATTAATGAAAGATAATGATTATTTAATGTGATGTAAAATGGGAATCCACTTTTGAAAGTGAATTAAAATTACGTAAAAAAAAATAGTGAAAGAATTATAAATTTGATGATGTGGAAGTATGACTCATTTTTGAAAGTGAGGGAGTATTGCAATAATAAGCATAACCTAAGTTTAGATAGAACATCTTTATCTTGTGGATCCCTGACAAAATTGTTTACGGTCATATATTTGGGAGTAGGGAGTACATGTACAATTTTTGTTAAATTAAACTCCACAAAGATGAAATTTCTTCATCCCCAGACCTCACCGGATGGTGAAGTGATCAGTTCATTAAATGAGAGGACCAGTGTCATTACAGGTATCATGTTCTGGATTCTTATTCACAATCTATCATTAAATTGAACTCGGTATGGATTAAATGGCATAGTCTCTTAATTTAACAAGAGATTTGACGTGTGAATTTAATTGACTAGTTAATGAAACTTGTAGTTAAAAAATATTATATTTAAAATAAAAAAATTATGTTATACTCTTTTTTTTTTTAAATATTCATGATTCCTTACAAAGTAATATATGTTATATACTTTCTTAAACTTTTTCAGTCTAAAGAATCAATGCCCCTATACTGGAATTTGATTCGGTAACTACTCATTTGAAAGGGTAATAAATGTGTAATCATATTACATAGTACTTAACAAAAATTATATTCTACTATTCAATTGGAATGAGAGATATAAGATGTGCGTTGTCTTAAGGAAGATGAAGAAATTGAATGTTGTTTTAAAAAAAAAACAAAAATCCAAAAATGAGTACTTTATTTTTTTAAAGAACGAGACACCCTATATATTACACCAAATTAAACCAAATGTTTCTACTAAGGTTCAAACCTATCACCACCACTTAAAGGAGCAATGTGGTACCATTAGACTGCAAGGTCTTTTGTTTCAAAAATGAGTAGTTAGTACTAATGTTATAGTTCAAGATATTAAGACCAATCTTTTAACTTGAGTTAGGTTAAGTGGTTAACTAAATTTTCACCCATTACTTTAAATAACATTAATAATTTATTACTCGAATTTGAAACTCCTTATGAAAATTAATAAAGATGTTACTCCAATGTTTGGTACTCACAAAGAGCTCACCAAAGAAGTAAAATTGCCAAGGTTTAATTGCGAGATGTAGCTTAGTGACTTAGGGCTAGGCTAAGATCCTCTTCTATTTAGGATTCAAATCTGGGTATTTGATGAGTCACTACACCACACTCAATCTTGTTGTTGTTCCCAAAAGGTTGAATCCCCAATCCTAAGAGCCCCCATGCATGCCCTGGCCTGACAGAGCATCTGAGATGATGTAAATCATAGTAACTGCGCATAAGGAGTCCCCTCACTTTGAGATGTTGCTCCCACACTACCGCGGGTGAGACTCGATTATGGGTCATTGTTTTCAAATTACACCCATGTGACCAACTAAGCTGCCTATGAGGGCCACACTCCATATTTCCATCACTAAGATATGTCCTGCGGATATCTACAAATCTAATAAGAGTCAATAAAGTTAGGCCTTTAAAGAGAACAAAAAAAATGTTGGTGTAATTGTTTTTTGAAATGAACGGTTCATATTATTTTGATTTTAATATTTTTTTAATAATTTTCTTTATTTACCCTCTATTATATTATTTCATTAACTATTTATTATTCTTAACTTACTCATTAATTTTTATAAGAAAGGTCTTAGGTTCGAACCTCATCCCCATCAAAGTTGACATAATTGTTAAACATATACTACGAATATGTTTTAAAAATACAATGTAAAATTTAACATAAACTTTGATCAAATAATTAGCCCGACTAAATACATAGCATTCAAAGTTGAACATCAAAGATTATAAATCAGGAACTTTGAAAATCATTTTCATGCATTTAAAAAAAAAAAAAACAACAAATTTAGGTTAAGTTTTTTTTTTTTTAATTAATCTTCTTTTGATTATTTAGAACAAGACTCAATATTTAAATTATGCTTTTGCATTATTGGAATGATTTAGGTCCTTATGGCATTAATATATATTTATATAATTGTACAATTGTACATTACTTTACAAATACAATTATACTATTATTTTTTATCGGACAAAATTATTCGTACATCATTGTCAAACCTGCGCGACCTAACTACAAAGTTGTTGATCAAAATACAACTACACATGAAGTCTAAAACGGTAGGACCATTTTTCAAGGAATTGACAAGGTTAACATCTCACTGGCTCCAATTGAATAAGTTTACTCATCACTCTCAAAATTTTATCAATGCATAAAAATTTTTGAAGAAATTTGTAAAGTTAATTTTTACTATATCATTATAACAATATCTATTGTAACCATATATTTTGAATTATTTATTATCATCCTCTATTAACAGCAATTGTAGCAATTGTCATTGACAAATTCCAAGAAATTTGACGTGTGAATTTAATTGACTAATTAATGAAACTTGTAGTTAAAAAATATTATATTTAAAATAAAAAATTATGTTGTACTCTTTTTTTTTTTAAATACTCATGATTCCTTACAAAATAATATATTTTATATACTTTCTTAAACTTTTTCAGCCTAAACAATCAATGCCCTTATACTGGAGTTCGATCTTATAACTACTCAGTTGAAAGGGTAATAGATGTGTCATCACACTACATAGTAGTTAGCAAAAATTATGTTCTACTATTCAATCCCAATGAGAGCATCCCCATTAGGGGGATTGTTCACAATTGTTAATAAAAAATTGCCACCATGGATGAAAGAGAAGCAAGTGAGAGAATGCTAGTGGTCCTCCTGCAAAGAATGAGATTTTTATGGTCCCGATGCAAGATAAAGATAACAATTGGTTGTTCTTTTTTTCTTGCATTAAAAACCTCTTTTCATTTTTTTTTAACTTTTTTTTTTCTTTTTCCCTTTCCTCCCCATCTCTCGTACTTGGCACCTAAAAAGCCACACCAAAATCTCCACTATTGAGGATGCCCTGAGAGATATAGGATGTGCGTTGTGTTAAGGGAGATGAAGAAATTGCTCATTATTCTCACTATTTAATGTAATTAGCTCATATTTACTATATATACTCAGTATACTAACTTGCTCTCAAAAGGTGAAATTGATCACTCCAAGAGCCCTCAGACCTCAAGTTCACAAGATGGTGGATGGGTAAATTATAGTTACTCAAAAGTATTATAGGTGGGATAATGGAATGTTATGTTGTGCAACCGTGTGCACCATGCAAGATTCACACAGAATTTGATTCATAATTTCTATACTATAGATTCATAATTTCTATACTATAAATTCATAATTTCTATATTGTAGATTCATAATTTCTAAACTGTAGATTCATATCTATACTATAGATTCATAATTGCTATACTATAGATTCATAATTTTTAAATTGTATAATTATCAAAGAGTTAATTACCGATTTGGTCCCTCGACTATGAGGATTTCACCAATTTGGTCCTCGACTACCAAAATTCCTCAATTTGGTCCCCGACTATGAAATTTTTACCTGATTTGGTCCTAAGTGTTATTTTCTGGTCAAACCTAAAGAAAAATTTGGGGATTATTAAAAAGAATTATTATTATCTCATCATCTTCAATCCAAATTATTATTATCATTCCCGATTTCCAGCCAACATCATCATCATCAACACCAACATGCCATTTCTTAACTAGACTTCACCCTTAATTCTCAACATCAACTCAACACCATAGCCGATCACCTCTCAACTACACCGCCGGACATCATCACTATTCACAATCTCACGGATGCTGCCGAAACGTTCCGCCATCGCTGCACGCCAGTCAACGCTATCTCCAACTGCTATTGCTAGGTTAGCTGAGAGAGGAGAATGATGGTAGAAGG